TAAAAAAATAAAACACATCTCATTTTTTGCTTCATGCTTTTAAATTATAATAATGTTAAGTTTTCTAAGGTTAATTATATGTAAAATTAAGACTAATTTTAAATTGTAGCTTGTCTGTTCTTGCTCTAAATCAGTGCTGGGCCTTTGATTCGGGTCGGGTTCAATCCTTGGGCCAATCCAACTGTTCTTTCTTGGGCCTTAATGTCCTATCTTTATTTTTATTTTTTATTTTTCAATTTGACACACCCTCTACTCTAAAAATGAATTTTGTAAATTTATTCATTTTATTACTTATTACCATCAAGTAAAATTTAACATCTCCGTATTAAAATTTTGATTATGAAGTATTTTAATTTTTTTTTAAAAAAAATTGTCTTTTACAATGGGTATATATTTGTTTAATATTTTTATTTATATTTTTTAAAAAAATATTTATTTTATTAGGAAAAATAATTATTAGAAACCCTTTAATTTTTAAGTAACATAATATATCTATATATTTGGATAATATTGAGTCATACTGTTAGATTTGACTTGGATATTCTTTTTTTTTTAAAAAAAAAAAAATCCTGACAGAATAGTCTTAGTTAATACTTAATACTACAGCCAAGCCACCACCATCCTACAATGTACTTGGGATGGGTCCCAATTTAATTATAATTATATAATTAATACATGTAAAACTGTTGTTGGGTTAGTCTTAAACTCTAATTATATTTAACTCAGTTTTGTTTATAGAAATTATATTAAATAGTATAAATATAAATATAAATATAAGTTTATGTTCAATATAAAAAAGAGTTGAAAATGACTCACCTTGATGTCCTTCTATAAAAATTTTACATATATTCCAAACATGATTCACGAATTTCATAATTCATTATCCGAAGAACTTATTACCATAAATAATTGAGTAAATACAAAGTTTATACAACATCAATTTACTATTTGCGCAATGGGGAGAAGCACAACTTAGCCGACTGTATGCTGCTTGCAACCCTTGGGTCCATAATGCTGAGAGCTACGCCTCACAATTTTTTTGCACAAATAACAGTAATGAACATGGCATGTCCGGCAAAGAATATGGTTGTTATTCCCTACCTGTCAAGGTATCAAACAAGAGGATTAAATTGAGTTTATCATCCTATCTACATATCAATCTTTACTCACCTTCGCATTGAATTGGCGGCAATTAGGACACAAGTGAGCACGTTCCACATAGAGTTCAGCTCGAGCCTGACCCACAACCTGGCGAGCGTTAACCCTCACCTCACAATTCTGTACCATTTGCTGCGAGAACAGTTGGCAGGAACCCCTCCCCCTTCAATAACACGTTTATTAGCTATATATATATATATATATATATATGCACACGCTTGTGAAAAACATCAGCTCAAAAGAGTCAGATATAAAGGGATGATCTAGGAATTTTTCTAGTAAACACGAACCTGAAATGATCATATCCATCAATGGCCCGGTTACAGCGGTAGCAGAAGTACTTTCCACAATTGTTACATACCATCTTATTACAACCTTCAGTCCTGGAGATTGCCATTTTACAAGTAGGGCATTGTTTTGCATCTTTAAGTATTTCCTTGACACTCAGAATCTCATTTATCATTTCACGCTCCTTCTGCTTTTGATCTTCTGTCAGTTGAGATGAATTCTGTCGTTCCTGCAGATAATAGATTTGACAATAATTTTATTAACAATCTAGAGATTCTTAACTATACGTAGAACATTATAATTACGTACTTATTCTGATCATTATACGTAATACTATAATTCTTCCATTTAATATCTTCATTTCTGCATTAATTAATATATATAATATTCCTTTTTCGTTCTAAGAAGCTATGGACTTATAACATTGACCAATCACATCGCATCCACACTAATCTATAAAAACAACTTGGATTGTATCTTTACTATGCATTGTTTTTTTTGGTCCTCAACATAAGGTATCTTAGTTACTTGGTGATGCAAACTGAGAATACAACAAAAAAACAATCATAGGTTATAAATAGAAAATACAACCAAGTTCAGCTATTTACTTAGCTACGCTAGGTGCTTAACCAAATCAATTCCATAAACTATCGGACAAAGACACTCATGAATAAACAAAAAATATTAGAATCTCAATCACAATTAAAAAGACAAGATTTCATGAATGTCATACCTTTGTTCATTGGATAACAATTGACTCATTGGAACTTCTACGTAAAAATTTATTACTTCATGTAAAACTAGTAAAAATATTTGTCTATAAAATTACCTGCAAGATAATAAGCTTCATTTCAGGAGTCATACATTCGATGCCTAAATGACGTTTTTCCTTGCAAAGAGCACAGAAACTGAAGAAGCACTTGGAGCATTGGGCGTGTTGCTCATCATATTTTATGCAGGTTGTTTCACATCTCGGACAATAAACTACATCAGACATTGACTCTAATGCCTTTTGTAGCATCAATGACTCCCAACGTCCAAATTCTTTATCGGCCAGCAACTGTTTCAGCAAACCAGGTGGTATCATACATCCACATTTTGCACTTGGACATTGAAGTTTGCTTACAGTGCCTTCTGAGACATGTACATTGGAATATTGCCTCATGCATTTCCAGCAGAAGAAATGCTGGCAAGGCAACATGATGAATTTAATACCTGTTAAAGATTTTTAAAAGTAAATATATAACTCAAAATACCATAACTCAAACTAAGTCTGTTTATGATAAAACCTACAGAGGGTGAATAGGAGTGTAAGGTAGGAAACAATTTGGTGGATACCCATGGTGTTAAGGAATAAAATGATATTTATAGTAGCCATTTAGCCACTCTATTAGCTTATGGCATGATGTATGAGTTAGAGAGAAGAGATAAGGAATCATAGGCCTGAAAGAAAAAAACTAGGATAGAAGGTGACAGTTTGAAAAATGTTGGAGTCCTTTGGCCACACTAATTTGTCTTCAATTGAAATGTGTAATGAGAACTCCAAACTGGCTTCAATAAATATTTAAATATAGACATCTTCAAACTTTTCTTTCAAGTAACCTATTACCAAAAACAGAGTTTCAACAGTATTTTTGAGATTGGGCTCGGCCTAAATCCCAATCACTTGCTACACAAGTCAAGAGTTTAGAAATATTTTTCAGTTCCTGATAAATCAAATAAACTTCATTCTTATAAGGACTTAATACCTGCATATTCATTAAAACAGATACAACACTCATGCAAGCCTTTTAGGAAATTCTCATGGCATTTCTCTTCATTATAACTCCTAATTGAAGGCACATCAACATCAAGAGAGAGACTTCCTGAAACTGCACGCTTATCTTCGTTGTATTTGATGTCATAAGGACCAAAAATAATTTCTTTGTCAAACCCAAGATAAGAAAGAGATGAATGCCGTAGCCATTCTGCCCATTGATATAGAACTTCTTGCCCCAGCTGCTCATTCCATATTGAGTCTAGCATGGAGCAGAGACTGGAAATCTTAGCAGGATCCAACCACTGAACAGATATGATAAAATAAGGAGGTAGGTGACTTGGGTACGACTTGGGTAATAAACAGGTCAACACAATTGGTGGAAGATATCGGATTTTGAATGAGTACAAGAAGTCATCTGATTTTTCCGTTTTGATCCTGGGATCAGCGGAAGAATTTAGGTTTGCAGTTACAGCAAGTTCACTAGAAGCTTCAATGTTTAGATGAATCTGTAAAATATCAACCACGTTAGGTTATTTTCTTTATATACATGAGAGCAGGACATCATAGTTATAAGCTTATAACATAACCTGAAAATATCGCAGGTCTTTCTCTCTGGCAGAGATGAAGACACTATCTCCATAAATGGACTCCATTGCAAGCAACTGCAACAATTTAGTAGATGAGAAAATCTAAAATCCAAGAACAGTATATAATTCCTGCCTCACTAGCAATGGCATGCAGACAAAAGACTAGTTCTCAAATACTAATTCGAAACAATGTGTTCCACATTGATCTTTTCCTGAAACTTTTTGGCACTGAAAACCAAAAGATAAAAGAGAATTTTGAAAGACCTGTCAATATACAAGTAGGAATGTGTACTTAGTCCACCATTACTACTAATAAGAAAGTTTCCCAAACCACATATATATTGATTAATGTCCTTGGCAAATTATAGAATAGCCATTTAATCCAATTCGTATCCAATTCTCATCCTATCTTGGACTTTTAATTAAGTACTAAACTAGTCTCAATGTATAGAAGTGAATCATCACTTCATATTTGAACTATTTCCATCACTGCCTTGAATTTCTTAGACAAAAATTTATAATTCCTAGTTGCCTAAGAAACAGGTATTAGCTTCCTCAAATAGAACAAAATAAAAATAATAAAAATAAAGTAGCACTCCATATCAAAGTTGTGTTATTTATGTTGTGTTCTTGAAATTGGGACCTTGATAAATCTCATGAAAGATACTTGAAAAGAAGAGTATCCTAACAATCTCACAAACATGATCAAGAAAATGCTGGAACTCAGGTAGCGAGACAGAGCAAGTACTATACTGAGAACCTTAACAAACCATCACAAGACCACTGGACCTTAGATCATATAATTGACAATACACCACATAACGCCAGCAGTCAATCAAGAATTATCGAAACAAAAAATATACCTCATCTTCCTGCAACTGATCATCCAACTTCAGTTGCTCCTCCGGTAGCAGAGGCTCCTGCACGCTTAACCTCAACTCCTCCAATATTTGAAGAATATTATCCTTACCACTTCCTGAGTCGTCCCTCTCATTCCTTTCCTTGTTGCAGTCAGTTTTTGCATTTCCTTCATTTTCTTCGTCCCCATCCACATTTCCAACAAAACTCAAACTACTCACTTCATTTATCAGAAAATCCTCCGCGCTATTGGAAGAATTTAGTGCTTCATCCGAAACGCTCAGTACAGAGTCGGTAGAATTGAGTTCAGATTTTTTGACAAACTGAGTTTTGAACACATATACACTCCGATTTCGGGATTTCATCTCGGGGTTTCCGCTGTTTCTTGGGATTTTTTGGGGTTGATCGAGGCTCTGTTGCCACTGAGGAGTGGTTAGCACAGGAGAGGAATCGTTCCAACGGGTTTCTCGTTGTTGTCGTTCTTCTCCCTCTCCTTGTTTCTGTCGAGGAGGATCTTGAGGTCGACTGGTGAGGGGCTTAACCATCCAATGGTATTCGAGCGGGAAATGGCGGGAGCGGTGGTCTGCCATGCCGTACATTACAGTGTAGACAGTTGAGGGAGTTGGTGGAGACCGACCTTGGGACGGAGCAGTACGAACATGAATGACTAATTTATTAGCTACATGAATTTATATTTTTAAAAAATTATTCATCATTTTTTACTTTTTTATAAATTAATATATTAAAATTTATTCGGCATAAATATTTTACTAATTAATATTAAAAATTATTACTAGTAAATTAGATAAAATGATAATATTATTTCTATATACACGATATAAACTACTAATTGCTATAGTAAATATAATATTTCAAATTTATTTTTAAATAGCACAGTTAAATATATTTAATATTTAATCACTAAAATTTATTTTCTATTAAAAAAATAAAACATATTTCTTTTTTTTTTTTTTTGCTTCATGCTTTTAAATTATAAAAATGTTAAAAAGTTTTTCTAACGCTAATTATACGAAAAATTAAGACAAATTTTGAACTGTAGCTCGTCTTGCATTGTGTCTCAATCAGTGTTGGGCCTTTGATTCGGGTCGGGTTGAATTTTTGGGCCAATCCAACTTTCCAATCTTTTATTTGTTTCGGTTTGACCCCCCCTTTACTTTAAAATGGGCCCGTATTTTATTTATTACTTATTAGCATTAAGTAAAGTGTTTTAATTTTTAAAAGAATATTTTTTTTTACAATAGGTATATTTATTTGATATTTAATATTTTTATTTATATTTTTATTTTTTAAACGAGAATGATGATTAGAAACCCTTTAAACTTTTTTATTTTAAATAATACATATTTATATATTTTTGAATAATATTAAGAGTAATTTTAATTATTAAAAAAAAAAAAAAAAAAAAAAAGATTTCTTTAATAAGCCGAGCCACCACCATCATCCTACAATGTGCTTGGGATGGATCCCAATTCAACTCTAATCATATAATTAATACATGTAAAACTCTAATTATACTTAACTCAATTTTATTTATAGAAATCATACTAAATAGTAGGAATGTAAGTATAAATATATGTTCAATATAAAAATGAGCCCAAAATGAATGATCAAAATGGCGCATCTTCTTCTGTCGGTTTGTAGTTGAGGGAGTTGGGAGCTCTCTTTCCCTTTCTTGGCCAATGCAGCTACTAGTTAGGCTTCCCCCAAATTGTAAATAAATGATGTTTTCTTTACATACATTCTATAAAAAAAAAAAAAAAAAATTTAAATTTATTCAAAACATGACTTTGGAATTTCATACTTCGTTATTGGGGGGAACTTATTGCTATAAATGATTGAGTAAATACAATGTTTATACAACATCTATTTACTATTTACGCAGCCTTAGCCTACTGTATGCTGCTTGCAACCCTTGGGTCCATAATGTTGAGAACTACGCCTAACAATTTTTCTGCATAAATAACAGTAATGAACTTGGCATGCCCAGCAAAGAATATGATTGGTATTCCCTACCTGTCAAGGTATCAAACAAGAGGATTAACTTGAGATCACATCGGAGGTTATCATCCTATCTACATATCAATCTTTACTCACCTTCGCATTGAATTGGCGGCAATTAGGACACAAGTGTGCATTTTCTGCATAGAGTTCAGCTCGAGCCTGACCCACAACCTGGCGAGCATTAAACCTCACCTCCCAATTCTGTATAATTTCCTGCGAGAACAGTTCGCAGGACCCTTCACCCCTACAATAACAAGTTGATCAGTTTTACATATATATAAATATACACTTGTGAAAGAGATCAGCTCAAAAGAGGCAGATATAAAGAGATGATCTAGGAATCTTTTTAGTAAATTACGAACCTGAAATGATCATATCCATCAATCGGCCGGTTACATCGGTAGCAGAAGTACTTCCCGCAATTGTTACATACCATCTTGTTACAACCTTCAGTCCTCGAGATTGCCATTTTACAAGTAGGGCATTGTTTTGCATCTTTAAGTATTTCCTTGACACTCAGAATCTCGTTTATCATTTCCCGCTCCTTGCGCTTTTGATCTTCTTTCAGTTGAGATGAATTCTGTCGCTCCTGCAGATAATATATTTGACAATAATTTTAGCAATAAACCAGGATATTTTTTAATAGAACAGGATGGGGATGGGGGTTCCAGAAAGAATATATACATAGGTAACTATATATATATATATATATATATATCTTTTGCCAATGGCAAAGACAACCTAAAAAGTTAAAAGCTAACAAAAATGTTGCCCTCAAACTGAAACAATTGGTCAAAAACAAAATCTCAAACTAAGAGCATAGAAAATAAATCATCACATAATCTGCCTCTTTTGAGCTGATGTCATTCACAAGTGTGTTATATATATATATAACTAATCAACTTGTTATTGAAGGGGGGAGGGGTCCTGCGAACTGTTCTCGCAGGAAATGATACAGAATTGGGAGGCGAGGGTTAACGCTCGCCAGGTTGTGGGTTAGGCTCGAGCTGAACTCTATGCGGAACATGCTCACTTGTGTCCTAACTGTCGCCAGTCACCCAAATGTATTGACCGGTGCTTTTAAGATCATTGGATCATATGCTAGAGTAGCTCTTTACATAGCCATCAAGCCTTCAACCAAAATAGGAAAATAAACTAACAAAATAGGAATTCTTAACAGAAACCGGACCAGAACGAAAACGACTAACCTATAATAAACTAAATTAATTTCCTAAAACATGGTTAGTGCCTGGAACACCTTCCTGCATTCCCTTCAAGGCTTGAGCAAATTTGATCAATCCGGTAGAAGTGCATGAAAGATAGCAATTTCAAGGTGAAATCACTCTACATTGTTTTGACTGCTAATTGTTATGGACCATCATGGTCAAAATAATAAACACAATCAGCAGTTGGGGGGTATCTTCCATAAGTAGGTCAGTTTTAATCTCCTGGACATTATTTTCTCTGCTACTCAAGTTTGATTCTGGATAATCATAAGAAGAGGGTAAGGTTATGGTTACCAGATGCTTTTTTTACAAGAAGGATGAGGAGCCAGTCTCATAGCCATCAAGCCTTCAACCAAAATAGGAAAATAAACTAACAAAATAGGAATTCTTAACAGAAACCGGGCCAGAACAAAAACGACTAACCTATAATAAACTAAATTAATTTCCTAAAACATGGTTAGTGCCTGGAACACCTTCCTGCATTCCTTTCAAGGCTTGAGCAAATTTGATCAATCATGAAAGATAGCAATTTCAAGGTGAAATCACTCTACATTGTTTTGACTGCTAATTGTTATGGACCATCATGGTCAAAATAACAAAAACAATCAGCAGTTGGGGGGTATCTTCCATAAGTAGGTCAGTTTTAATCTCCTGGACATTATTTTCTTTGCTACTCAAGTTTGATTCTGGATAATCATAAGAAGAGGGTAAGGTTATGGTTACCAGATGCTTTTTTTACAAAAAGGATGAGGAGCCAGTCTCCTAGCCATCAAGCCTTCAACCAAAATAGGAAAATAAACTAACAAAAATAGGAATTCTTAACAGAAAACCGGGCCAGAACGAAAATGACTAACCTATAATAAACTAAATTAATTTCCTAAAACATGATTAGTGCCTGAAACACCTTCCTGCATTCCCTTCAAGGCTTGAGCAAATTTGATCAATCCGGTGGAAGTGCATGAAAGATAGCAATTTCAAGTGAAATCACTCTACAATGTTTTGACTGCTAATTGTATGGACCATCATGATCAAATATAAACACATCAGCAGTGGGAGTATCTTCATAGTAGTCAGTTTATCTCTGACATATTTCTTGCTACTCAGTTGATCTG